ACAATATTTTTGACTTTTTGCTATTAAACATGTCCAAAATTTAAAAAATCAAATTCCGTCATAAATGTAGGCCAAAAAGTATTCTGCCCCATGTCTTTGCTAAAAAATATCCCAATACGTGTAAATTAATTGGTTTACGTGAAAGTTATAGAGTTTACAAATGGCGGTATATATACTGTGTTTTTTTGTTTGTTTTTTTTTAATTTTTAGTAGTAATGGCGGCGATCGGCATCTTATAGCGGGACTGCGGTGGACATTCAGACACTGGGGGGAACTGACTTGGTGTCACTGACATCCCCGGTGACGCCAATACAGTGATCAGTGCTAAAAAAAAGCACTGACACAGTACTAATTGCACTGGGCAGGAAAGGGTTAACATGAGGGGCAATCAAAGGGTTAACTGTGTGCAGGGATTGTTTTATTAGAGGGCGGTGTCTGTGTGCTTCACTGTAAGCACACTGCTTTGGATGGCTGTGCAGTGCACAGCCATCCAAAGCAGTGTGCCTGAGCTGACAGGGAGGAGAACTGTTATGTAAACAAAACAGTTCTCCTCCCTGTCAGAGATCCTCAGTAATCACCAGCCAGGACCCAGTGATTGACACCCGCAACCGTGATTTTGCGCACCCGTGCCACCCTGTAGCAGTATTTCTGCTATAGGGCGGTTGGAAAGCGGTTGGGCCAATTTAGACAAGAACCTACCAGCATGTCTTTGGAGTGTGGGAGGAAACCCACACATGCACAGGGAGAACATGCAAACTCCAGGCAGGGAGTGCCATGGTTAGGATTCAGACTGTCTACCCTAGTGCTTCTAGGTGGGAGTGCTAACCACTTAGCCACATATGCAGTATATGGTACATTCACATCAGTCCCTGACCTCAAGGAGCTTACAATCTAAGTCCCTAGTTCTTAAACACTTTTTGGGAGTGTAGAAGGAATAAAAAAGTAACATATGTATTACTGCCTTTGTACAAATTGGGCAGGTTTCCCTTCACTTCTTGTCCCAGAGAGAAGGTTGAAGGATCAGAGAAATAGAAACTGATACAACATCTCTTTTGAGTAGAGCAGTGGCTTCCTGTGGCTTCCTGCATCGGTGACACTCCTTTATCTTTTGTCCTGGTGTCCCATGGAAAAAAGTGAGTTCAGATCTCTACAATGAATAACAATAAAAACCTGACAAAAGTTCTAACTTTTTCCCATGCTAGCCAAAATTTTAAAAGAATGCTATTTAGGTTGGAGTTATGCTATAAAACCCCATAGGTTTGGATGTTACCCCTTTATGACAATAAAAATGATTTAAACAACTCATCAATTCTGTGTTTAGCTTTGTTAGGTATTTCTCGAGGGTATAGTTCAGCAATGAAGTTCATCATGCACCAAGCCTTCTTGCCATTCTCAAATAGTAGCACATGGAATAATTGTGAATGAAACCTTAAGGCACAAACCTGGCGTAGTGAAACAAAATATAAATTAGAATGATTTGTCCTTTAAATTAAATGATAATTGTGTTTTAATTGAGTTCGGCGATGGAAAAGGGAAAACTGGTAACTGAATAGTTATTACCTAAAAGTCTAAAGTCTCACAAAGCTGAAATTGACTAACTATAAACATCACTGATGTGCAGAAATTATTTTGCATCCCCATGAACCACCTTGGAGTCTGGGGCCCCAGGTAGCCACCCATTCTTCCCTTATTTTAATCCACCGTTGGCTTTGAAATGTGATTTGAAAGGGTCTGGTAGAAGCAGCAGGTGTTAGGTTTCCCCTCTGATTGAGTGAGGGCTCTGGCAGTCCAGGCGTGTAAAAGAGGAGAGTTTTCAAATTGAGAGGTGCTGGTACAGTTGGTTTGGGCATCTTATATAGGAGGCCCCTCCAAGAGCTCTACCTGACAGGAGTGACAGCAGATAGACAGAACCAGAATCATTTCTTACAGCTGGCCTGGAAGTGGTTTGGAATCCATGAAGTATATATATGGGCAAAAGAAGGGGTGATTCAACTCAACCAGTCTAATCCCTCTACAACCTCTACAGAAATTTGTTGTCTGAAAACGATGATAGACATTAGTTTATGTACTTGATGCACGGTGTAAAAATAGGGTCATATTATTATTATTATTATTATTATACAGTATTTATATATTGCCAAAGGGTATGCTCAGCGCTGTACAGTAGCAAGGGGGACAGAACATGAGACAAGACAGTAACAATACAATACACGAGGGTTCAAGGGCCCTGCTCTTTCGAGCTTACTATTATATTCAAGGGAGGGGAAGGTGGTACAGGAGGAAATGGCTGTGGGGGATGGAGTGGGGGGAGGAGTGGAGGAGGTTAGTTGTTAGGTGGGGTCAGGTGTTAGGTGAGGTTGGGGTAGGCTTCCCTGAAGAGGAGGGTTTTCAGGGTGCGCCTAAAGGTGAGGAGGGTAGGTGACAGTCTGATGGATTTGGGTAGGGAGTTCCAGAGGATGGGGGAAGTCCTAGAGAAGTCCTGCAATCGGGCGTGGGAGGAGGTCATACATTTGTTTCTATTGCTGTAATACTTTCCCTCCATTACCCTTTTCACATATAAAAGTATTTTTTACAGCTGATCTTTGGGGTAAAAAAAAAAAGATATACACTTGCAGTGAGTCACTGTACCCATTGCAAGAGTTACTAAACCAGGACCGTGCACTCACGATATCCGATCTCCCACAGTACACGTTACATGGAAATGCAGAAATTGTAAATATAAACTGCTAAATATCTTTTCTCATCAGCAGTATATAACAGTGACTTCTATCAGTGTCCAGCTGAGCACTGGTTAAAGCTTGTAGGAGTAGTTTTCATTCTCCTCTGACTGTCCTATGAGGCTGCAGGACCCCTGACCCTCTGTCTGGACAGTGCTGATTGGCCCTGTGCTGATCACCCACCCAAAGATAGAAACCTCATTAGCATTACACACTCAACTGAGCATGTGTAGAGTGACTCCTAGAGCTCGGTACTATTAGCAGATAGATTGGGGGCAAAAGAAGACGGGGAGGATCAGAGAAGACAACCTTTTTGCACAATGCAGAGGATTAACCCCTTAGGTTCCACAGTGAGTATAACCAGGATGCTTAACTGGATAAAAAGATTGATTTTACTGTGGTGGGTTTATTAACACTTTAACTGCGTGTTTTGCAGAGGGGCGATGAATAAGGTGATATACTTGCTTTATTCCTCTCCTTCTGCAGCTGGTGTTCTCCTCTGCTACCTAACGCTCCAGAAGGTGGGCATCCTCCCTTACAATGCAGGTGTACAATCTAAACGCACACGTTCCTGCATTAAAAATGGCTGTGTGTATAAGTGGGTGCTGCAGTGACCATCAGCTGGAGCCGAACAGAACCAGCAAGAGAGAATGTCACCAGAACAGCGAGGATCACCAATATGGGTCCAAAAGTTTTAATGAAAGATCACATAGTTACAGCAAGGCAACGTTTCGGAGTCTTGCAGGACCCCTTCATCAGGCAGAACTGCTGGATCTGCATTATATGGGATGATGTCAGTGAGCTGTGATTGTTGGGTACCGAAGAGAATAGACTTTGGAGAACAAGTCCCAAGAAGAGGAGGAAGCCTGTGAAAGGGAGGAATAAAGTCACTATATCTCCCTATTTTTCATCTCCTAGGCAAAACCAGCAGTTAACCCTTACAGTAGGGAGGGGATCCACTGCACAGATAAATGTTTTTTTCCAGGAGTTCAGCTTTAACAAACGTAATATCTTGAAAAGGAGATTCTACGTTTAGACTAAAAAAAACTTAAACTGCAGAATTGTTGATAAAAACAAACTTTCTGTTTTTAGCTTTTACTTTGAAATCCTAATGGCCAGCAGCTGTTATGGCCTAGGTGCTAGTGAAAGACTCAGTGCATAGTTAGCACAGTGCCAGCCTCCACATGGGATGTAATCAGTTAGGACTCATGTACACTGCAGCTGATAAACTCACATTTAGGAGCTGTTCAGCGTTTTTATCAGCAGCCCCTGAACTCCCCCTAATGTTTTCCTATGTGTCCATGTACATATCTTTGTTGACAGTCGTTTACAAGCATTTGAGCTTACAGTCATTTTTTTGAACGCAGAAAACTTGCGTTCAGCAGTCGATTTTATCAGCGTTTCAAGCGCAAAACACTTGTAAACGTGACTAAATGTGGCAAATCGCGTTTATACGCGTTTGAAAATGTTTTTGAACTCTTCCAGTTCCCGATGCTGTCCAGAGCCTTTTTTCATCATGAAAAATGCATGCAAAGCATTTTCAAGGTACACAGATGGACAAAACACTGAAAACAGGATGTTCCTACCAAGCTGGTCACACATTGTCATGACCAATTCACACCTCAGACCTCTCCCACCCTTGGAAACAAAAGATATGTTAATGACCATTCACACCTCAAATTCCTCATGAAGACCCCCTGTCAGGTCACCTTAACCACTTGCCTACCGGGCACTTATACCCCCTTTTTTACCAGGCCAATTTTCAGCTTTCAGAGCTGTCGCATTTTGATTGACAATTGCGCGGTCATGCAAGATTGTACCCATATGAAATTTTTATAATTTTTTTCTCACAAATAGAGCTTTCTTTTGGTGGTGTTTAATCGCCGCTGGGCACTTTACTTTTTGAGCTATAAACAAAAAAATTGCAAAAAATTTGAAAAAAAAAAGTTTCTTTGTTTCTATTATAAAATTTTTCAAACAGGTAATTTTTCTCCTTCACTGATGTGCGTTGATGAGGCAGCACTGATGGGCACTAATAGGCTGCACTGATAGGCAGCACTAATGAGGTGGCATGGATAGGCGGCACTGATAGGCGGCACTGATAGGCAGCACTAATGAGGTGTCACAGATAGGCGGCACTGACAGGTGGCACTGACTGACAGCACTGACAGGTGGCACTGACTGGCATCACTGCTGGCCATTGACTGGCGCAACTGCTGGGCACTGACTGGTGGCACTGACTGGCAGCACTGCTGGGCTGCACTTATGGGCACTGGTGGGTGGCACTGGTGGGAACAGGTGGGTGGCACTGGTGGGCACAGGTGGGTGGCACTGCTGGGCACAGGTAGGTGGCACTTCTGGGCACAGGTGTGTGGCACTGCTGGGTGGCACAGGTGGGTGCACTGCTGGACACAGGAGGGTGCACTGCTGGGCACAGGTGGGTGGAACTGGTGGGTGGCACTGCTGGGCACGTATCATCAGGGCACTGATCTTCAGTGCCCTGAGGAACGGTGCCGATCCCTGCTCTGACAACTGCCAGTTTTCGGCAGTACTTTCCTCACGCTCTGACAGCGTGAGGAAAGTGCAGCCGAGAACCGGCAATTGCATTTCCCGGTGATCAGCGTGTCATTGGACACGGCTGATCACGTGGTAAAAGACCGCTGTGATTGGCCTTTTACCACATCACGTGATCAGCTGTGTCCGTAGGCACATTATTAGGCACCTGTGTGTATACATATACACGTTCATAGCTCCCAACTACCCCTCATTTGGAGGGAGGATACATCTTTTGGAAATAAATCCCCCTGGTCCTTATTCTAACTCTTTGCCTCTCTTTTTGTTTTTACCTACAATCATGCCTTGACTATTGCAACTCCCTTCTAATAAGTCTATCTCAACACAGGATATGCCCCTTCAGTCTATCATATATTCTGCTGCCAGACTCATCTACCTTACCAATCGCTTGGTGTCCACCATCCTTCCCTGTCAGTGCCTCCATTGGCTTCCACTTACCCAATGAAAAAAAATTCAAGATACCAACAACAACATGTAAAGCCATTTCCAACTCTTCTTCCAGCTACATCACCAATCTTATCTCAGTATATCACTCAAACCATCCTCTCCACTCCTCCCAAGACCTCCTTCTCTCTAGTTCCCTCTTCACCTCGTTCTATGCTCTTGTCCAGGACTGCTTTAGAGCCTCTCCTATCCTCAGGAACTCTCTACCTCAATCTTTCTGGCTGTCTCCTTCTTTGTCCACCTTCAGGTGTTCTTGAAAATGTATAGCTATCCCACCTTCACCTAACCACTGAGCTTTTAATTTTTCCATCTGCCCATCCCTCACTGTCACCTTTTGTACCACTCGCCCCTCCCTATTAGATCGTAAAGTCTCCCGAGCAGGGCTCTCCTAACCCTATTGTATTTAATTGCATTGTAACTCTGCTGTCTCCCTCATATTGTAAAGTGCTGCCCAAACCGTGTCCCATCACAGTAACGAATGGGTACCGGAAAGCTCCAGATGCATGCTTGCGGTTGGGAGCTATCCAACCATGTGACTGCCAATCATAGCGGCCACATGATCGGAATGTCCGCCTCCCAGCATTCATAACCTCATAAAGGGTCAGGAGGCATCGGCGGTAAGGGGTTAATGATAAGAATGGTAAAGGAGTGTGTTTCACCAACCATTTTTTGTATAATAATTCTTCATAGTTTGTCTAACTGGGGTAGTGGAAAGGGTGTGCCCTTTGCCTAATTACTTTGTACTATATTTCAGAAAGTTTGGAGATTTGCACACAATAGTTCAAACATGTTTTTCTTCAAAAGTCTTTTGCAGTTTAACTTGTTTGTTTCTACCAAGTTGCTTTAGCTGAAAGTTAAAAACAGACTTGCATTGCAAGTACCTGCTCTGTACTCTGGAGAAAGAAAGGTACTTACCTGAATTGAGAAAGCGATAAGTGCTCATTGTGGTCAATATGTCATCCAAAGAGCAGGTGGGACAGTAAAGCAAAGCCTGTAGTATTTAGGCTGTGAATATTGGTAATACCTACCCTATCATATGCCATATAGAATTGCCAGGAAAGTCAGGTGGAAAGAGTATCTTGAATATTCTTTGCTCCGGTAAAACAACTTTGTATTCAAGTTTCAGTTTTGTATGTAACTTGTTTAAGTGGCTCTTTAAATTTTTTAGTGCATGTCATGTGTTGTAAGCGGTGTAAACATGAAATGTGAATTTGCCTACCTAATGGCATGTATTTTTACACCTGTGGTAAGCAGATTTTTCATCCCGCAGCCACCAAAGTGTGCACACTGATTCCAGCTGCCCGCAGGAATTTTCCAAATGTTGGCGGTTGCGGGGGTGGCACAGTAAGGTGATTGCTAAGCATGGTGTATACCTCCAGGAATGTTATGCTGCTGTGTTTATGGAAAAATGTGTCATAACGGAGTTAGTCATATATATGAAAGAAAAAAAAAATGTCTGCAAGCACGTGATCAATATACAACTGGTGTATAAACAGATTCATGGGTGTGTTTGTGCAATTTTTGTCAAAAGGGACCTGAATTCAAACATTAAAGATTAACTGTCTAACAGAAAACATCTAGAAATGAGCACTACACTAAAAGAGTTTTTTTGTCTTGAAATGCTTTTGAAAAATATTAGTGTACATTCTGTGCCTTAAGGCCTGAAGAACGGTAAGAAAAATGATGAAGAAGGTCTGAGGGATAAAACCTATCAGGAGAGGCTTCGGGAACTTAATATGTACAGCCAGGAGGAAAGAAGGGTAGGGGAAACATGATTGAAACCTTTAAATACATCATGGGGGTGAATAAGGTACAAGAGGGCAGTAGTTTCAATATCAAACCAAAATCAAGAACACAGGGGCCTAAAGAGGAAAGTTCAAAACTAATCTTAACCATTAGCCACCTGGCCTATAGCCGTTTGGTGGTCGCAAAAACTCATTAGCTTTCCGGGGTGTACGCCATTTGGTCGTCCTCCCGCACATGCGCGGTTGCAGAGCTGCGCAGCGACGCGATCTGTCATCGACCGATGACAGATCTGAGTACCGGCCCCTGTTGCCGGTACCATGTGACCTGCTGTGACCAATCACAGCAGGTTACATGACAGTTGTATACAATGGATGGCTTCATTCTTGCCATCCATTGTATACTAGTGTCTAGCTGTGAATGGTCACAGCAGGTCACATGCACATGTCATGTGATTAGCTGTGACCAAATCACAGCTAAGCACAAAAAAAAAAAAAAAACCCCAGAATGAATCGATGTCATTCAGGTAAATGCAAAGTAATTATTTGCTATAAGCAAATTGTGTAAAAATAATTAAAAAAAAAAAAATATTGATCACTTCTCCAAAGTAGTACAATGGTAACATTGTACTACTTTGGTCATAGTAAAATATGAAAAAAAAAAAAATTAATAAAAAATTAAAAATAATAAAAAAAAATATATTTTTTTTTCATGCTGTCACCAGTCAGTGTCCCTGATCACCGCCATGCCAGTTATATGATGACGCTGTACTGCACTGGTGACAATATGTAAAAAAAAAATAGTGAAAATAATTTTTTAAATTTTTTCATTTTCCGAAAAATTATGACAAAAAAAATACAACTTCAAAAAACTCGCCATGCCTCTTATGAAGTACGTCGGACTGTCTACTCTGCAAAAAGGGGTAATTTGGGGGATATCTGTACTGTTCTGACATTCTTGGACCTCAAGAAATTAGATTGGCTGTCAGTACTTCAGGATTGATCAATTTTCAGATCTATACCATAGTTTGTGAACTCTATAACTTTCCTACAAACTAAAAAATACATTCTAATTTGGGTTATTTTCACCAAAGATGTAGTAGAATACATCTTGGCCTAAATTTATGAAGAACAATTATTTATTTGTAAACTTTTATAACAGAAACAAAGAAAAACGTGTTTTTTTTTCAAATTTTTTAGTCTTTTTTTGTTAATTTAGCAAAAAATAAAAACCCCAGCGGTGATTAAATACCACCAAAAGAAAGCTCTAGTTGTGTGAAGAAAATGATAAAATTTTAGTTTGGGTACAATGTTGTATGACCGTGCAATTGTCATTCAAAATGTGAGAGCGCTGAAACCTGAAAAAACTGGCCTGGGCAGGAAGGTGTAAAATTGCCCGGTATTGAAATGGTTAAAAAGTATTATTTTACTGAAAGGGTAGTTGATGCTTGAAGTAGACTTCCAGTGGTAGTGAGTCGGTCAACAGTAAGTGCTTCAAACATGCTTGGGACAAACAGAGATCTACAGTATACTCATACAACAAAAGTTAACAAAATAACCACGTATAAACAAAAAAAAAAAAAAAAAAAAGAGTACTTTGTGTCCAGCAGCGATCACCGCAGTTAATTGCTGGCTGTGCAGAGAGCTGTAAATAGGTGCGTTCACCCGCGATCTGTCATTATAGTGAACAGCGCTAGCAGCCACACCTACCTGCTGAGATCTGCAGGAGGAACTGCTGCTACAATTCACACCAGTCCCAATCTCCTTTTTGAATGTTGCCTATGTATGTGCTGTGTGGAGAAGGGAGGGGGTTGTGGGCGGGGCTCTTTGGAGGGGGCGCAATTAAAATCTCAGCTGAGAGCTGCAATAGTAACTGCTTATCAGCTCTCATTTTTGTTAGTGTATATTATGTGCAGCCCAAGAAAAATGTCTCTTCTTCCAGTGTGGTCCAGGGACGTCAAAAGGTTGGCCTGTGTTAAAGGAAAACTAACTACTTACATTAACAGTAGTTATGCTGTTTGGAATTAAAATTAACGGTGAGGTAAACTTCATTGACGGGGGTTAAGCGGTTTCCATAATTTGCAAGTACTCACAAATCTCTATACCTGCTCAAGAGCTCAGTTTAGTTTGATGCTCTAAGGATGTAGGATGTTTCTGTCCACCTTTGATGCATCTAGACTTCATGACAAGGGTTTTGGACCTGGCAGCCCTGTCCTGCAAGGCATGGTTCTTTGTTCTTCACCAGTGTAACATTGTTTTGAGATATTTGGCCCTCTTTTTCTGCCTAGGGCCTTGACATTCTTCAACTTGCACAAGGGTATTGGAGGGAATTTATCAAAACTGGAGCATCTGTGTATGGCATCCAATCGAATTCTATCTTCAACTTGTTCAGTTAATCTTTGCAATGAAACATAGAAGCTAATTGGTTGACACGCACAGCTGCTCCATTTTTTATATATCCCCCTCAATCTGCTTCCATTTCTTTGCCTAGCCCTGAGCCATCTGGAATAGAAATTACCCTTATTATTTATTATTTATTTCAGGTACTTATATAGCGCCATCAATTTACGCAGCTCTTTACATATATATATTTTGTACATTCACATCAGTCCCTAACCCTCAAGGGGCGTACTATCTAAGGTCCCTAACTCACATTCATACATACATATACTAGGGACAATATAGACAGGAGCAAACTAACCTACCAGCATGTCTGTGGGAGTACCCGGAGGAAACCCACGCAGTCACAGAGAGAACATGCAAACTCCAGGCAGGTGGTGCCAGGGTTGGGATTCGAACCAGCGACCCGAGTACTGCCAGGCGGAAGTGCTAACTATTCACTTGCTTTATATGGTTCAGGATCTGTGGCTAGAGTATAACTTTATACTACAGCTTTCCTTCCAAGGACTGGCTGACTGTCCCTGTTCTTCATCCCAAATGGCCTCTGGCAGGACACCCTAACGTCTAGTGCAAACAGTTCCAGATGGGCTCATCAAACCACGTATTGGGTTTATGCCATTAAACATGGGAGACCCTTTATTTCCTGCCGCAACTCACTCTACTACTTCTGTGGCTTTCTGACACTGGTCTTCCATTTCTCAGGTCTGCAGCCACCTCTTGGTCATCCATTCACACCATACTGAGTTTTAACAGCTGATTGTAGCTTCATCAGCTAATCCTATCTTTGGACATATGGTCCCACAGGTGACTCTGTGATCATTTATCATCTCCTCTGGGCTGCAAATCATGCTTCCTTTCCCTATCCTTGCATGCTCCTCATTATGGGACTCATTTTGGATGTCCTGCACATGAAGAACTACTGTCCTGTGTCTTCTAACAAATTAAGTTTTTATAAGCACTGTAATTTTTTTTTCTCTGAGTTTCATTGTAGAACGTAGTTCTTTCCCCTCTTTCGGGGCTCCTTTTTGCTTGCCCTGTTCCAGTGGATTTATTGTAAAAGGATAGTTTTACATCTCTCAGTTGTTTTTACTGCTGCTACAACTGAGCTCTTGAGCAAGTATGAGGGTATAACCACTAGAGGAAGCAGAAACTTTTTGATTTGTATAGTGTCCAAACCTCCTGTAGTCGGCAATTTATCCCCATGTAAAGCAAACTGTAGTGCAGGAGTGTCCAACATTTTGATCTTTCTGGGCCACATTGGAAGAAGAGGATTTGTCTTGGCCGCATGTAAAATGCACTAACAATAAGGATAGCTGATGAGCAGAAAAAGGCAGACCACAAGATAACGATCACAGATATAGATAATGTACCTATCTGAGTAATAAAACTTTTTTTGTAATTTTTTTATTATAAAAGATGGCAACACAACACTTGAAATAAATATATTTTGGTTCTAATTTTGGCATTCATGTGCTTCATCCTTGAAAATAGTTGCTTACAAATAGAGGAGCTGCCGAAAACTGATGACATGAATAAGGCGTTAAAAGTGGGAGATTTTTCTCTGGGAAGATAAAACTTATAAAAGTCCAGTAAAGAGACATTATCAAATTTTTCTAGGGTGAATGTATTAATAGTAATAATAATAATAATTACAAATTCACCAATTTTATTACAAATAAAAAACTCTAAAAAAAAAAAAAACCCTAAAAATATCACATTTACATAAGTCTTCAGATCCTTTGCGGCAGCACTTGAAATTTAGCTCAGGTGCTTCCCATTTCTCTTGATCTTTGCTGAGATGTTTCTATACCTTGATTGGAGTCCACCTGTGGTAAAATAAATTGATTGGACATGATTTGGAAAGACACACACCTCTATAAAAGGCCTCACAGCTGACAAAGCATGCTGTGTCAAAAAAAAAGCCATGAGGTCAAAGGAACTGCCTGCAAAGCTCAGAGATGAGACTATTACAAGGCGCAGATTTGGGGAAGGCATAAAACAAATTCTGCTGCACTGAAGGTTCCCAAGATCACAGTGGCCTCCATAATTCGCAAATGAAAGAAATTTGGCACAACCAGAACTCTTCCAAGAGCTGGTTGCCCAGCCTAACTAAGCAATCAGGGGAGAAAGGCTTTAGTAAGAGAGCGACCAAGAAAACGATGGTCACTCTGACTGAGCTCCAGAGATCCTGTGTGGAGATGGGACAAAGGACAACCATCACTGCATCCATCCACTGACCTGGGCTTAATGGCATAGTGGCTAGACGGAAGCCTCTCCTCAGTGCAAAGCACATTAAAGCTTTTTTGCAAACACCAAGTGGCTTGGCTTCCGTCTTGCCACTCTGGAACAAAGCCCAGATCGGTGGAGGGCTGCAGTGATGGTTGTCCTTCTAGAACTTTGTCCCATCTCCAGACAGGATCTCTGGAGCTCAGTTAGAGTGACCATTGGGTTCTTGGTCACCTCTCTTACTAAGGCCCTTCTCTGACTGCTCAGTTTGGCCTGGTGACCAGCCAGAGTCCTGGTTGTGCCAAAGTTCTTCCATTTGAGAATTGTAGATGCCACTGTGCTCTTGGGAACCTTCATTGCAGCAGATTGTTTTTTTTGTAGCCTTCTCCAGATCTGTGCCTTGCAATAATCCTGTCTCTGAGCTCTGCAAGCTGTTCCTTAGACCTCATGGCTTTTGTTCTGAAACAGTATGCATTGTCAGCTCTGACCCCTTTTATAGAGAGGTGTGTAGCTTTCCAGATCATGTCTAGTCAATTTAATTTACCACAAGTGGACTCCAATCAAGGTGTAGAAACATCTCAGCAACGATTAGAAAATGGGAGGCACCTGAGCTAAATTTCAAGTGTTGCAAAGGGTCTGAATACTTATGCCAATGGGGTATTTTAGTTCTTTATTTTCAATAAATTCACAGACCTTTCTAAAATTCTGTGTAGTATCAGGCTGCAATATAGCACAATTGAAAAAAATGTGAAGAGGGACTGAATAATTTCTTAATGTACTGTAAGTAAGTTGATGATTTTGTGTTGTTCTCATTCATAGCTGTCTTGAACTGCAGGCTGGAAACCCCTGCTGTAGTGTCTGCTTTGCTGTGTCTTCCAACAAATCTTGAGATTTTACGATGAGCACAAAAAATCCTTGTTGATAAGAGAATAGTTAGTATATTTTCTCAGGGCAGTATTGGGCTACTTTTAGGACCTATGTCTATAAAGCGTATGAAAGTCAGGCCTTCGGACTTCAGAAAAGTTATAAAGACTCAAAAAAACAAAAACAATAAAAAGCCAGAGAACTACTTATCTGAAGGCAGATAAAAAAAAAAAAAGCTATCTGACATTTTGTCCAAGTTACAGCAGATCTCTGTTTTATTAGGCGCCCCTCCCCTCCTTCTTGAACCAAACAGACTAGAGCAAGAGGTCACTTCAGATTTATAGGCCACATAATAATTGGTTAAACTTGTAGCTCTGCTTTTAATATTCCTCCTCGTTTAGTGATCTTAAACAGTTCAGGGTTACAAAAACTTGGACCCGCTCTGGAGACCACATAAACTGCTACATTTTGCTTTCCTGTGTATTTATTTTAAATACAACAGCACAGACATAGCATCAATTGGGGTCTGCGGTGGGATTTTGTATTGGTTAAAATGATAGTTCCACTGTTTAATAATTATTTTGCATCTAAAACAGAACACAAATTCGTTCTCAAGAAAATGACATTTTTTTTTTAAAGGACTCAGTGAACACATTTACTGAGTGTAAAGCACAAAGTTCAGTAGTTTCATAGCAACCATTCAGACCTCACTTAACAGAAAATTGACCAGTACAAGTGATTCCAATTGGCTGCAATGCACTTTGCTCTATAAGCAATGTTATTTAATAAGTCCTCATGCTTCTGACAGGCACACTAACTACTTGCCAACTGCAGATAGCCGAATGACGGCTACACTGCGGCCGGCCAGTTCTGGGAGGGCGTCATATGACGTCCCCAGAACGCGCTCTCCTGCGCGCCCCCCGGCGATCTCTGTGATCGCTGTGTCCTACGGGCACAGCTGATCACGTGATGTTGGTAAAAGGCCAATCACAGCGGCCTTTTACCACATGATCAGCCGTGTCCAATGACACGCTGATCACCAGGAAATGCAATTGCCGGTTCTTGGCTGCACTTTTCTCACACTGTCAGAGCGTGAGGAAAGTACTGCCAAGAACCGGCAGTTGTCAGAGCAGGGATCGGCACCGATCATCAGGGCACTGATTGGTCGGTGCCCAGCAGTGCCACCCACCAGTTCCGTGCCCACCTGTGCCCAGCAATGCGCCCACCTGTGCCCAGCAGTGCACCCTCCAGTGCCACCCAGTGCCACCTACCTGTGCCCAGAAGTGCCACCTACCTGTGCCCAGCAGTGCCACCCACCTGTGCCCACCAGTGCCACCCACCAATGTCCATCAGTGCAGCCAGTCAGTGCCACCAGTCAGTGCCCAGCGGTTGTGCCAGTCAGTGCCCAGCAGTTGCACCAGTCAATGCCTAGCAGTGCCACCAGTCAGTGCCCAGCAGTGATGATGCCTATCAGTGCCGCCTATCTGTGACACCTCATTAGTGCTGCCTATCAGTGCCGCCTATTAGTGCCCATCAGTGCTGCCTATCAGTGCCCATCAGTGCCGCCTATTAGTGCTTATCAGTGCTGCCTCATCAACGCACATCTGTGAGAGGGAAAATTCCTGTTTGAAAAATTTTATAATAGAAACAAAGAAACTTTTTTTTTTTTCAAATTTTTTGTATTTTTTTTTGTTTATAGCGCTAAAAGTAAAGTGCCCAGCGGCGATTAAATACCACTAAAACAAAGCTCTATTTGTGAGGAAAAAAATGATAAAAATTTCATATGGGTACAACCTTGCATGACTGCACAATTGTCAAAGTGCGACAGTGCAGAAAGCTGAAATTGGCCTGGTAAAGAAGGGGGTATAAGTGCCTGGTAGGCAAGTGGTTAAAAAAAAAATCTGCTCAGAGGCCTGAACCAAAAAAAAAGGAAAATTTAATATTTACCTTTTCCAAAATTAGTTTTTATAGCACAGTACTTTACAAAATAAAGGGGTACAGTTACAATACAATTCAATACAAGGAGGTCCCTGCTCATAAGCGCTTATAATTCAAGGTCCTTATCTCACACACATACTATTGACAGTTTAGACAGGAGAACATGCAAACTCCAGGTAGTGTTCTGGTTGGGATTTTAGTGTTACAAGGCAGAAGTGCTAAGTCACTGTTAAAGTAGAATTCCAATCTAGCACTAACTAGTCAAAGGGCCAGTTCACATCAGGAATCGCACAGGAACAGACTGCATTGCTGTGTGAGTCACATTTATTTTTATTTATTTTTTTTAAATTTATTACAGGTGTATAGCACTGTCAATTTACACAGCACTTTACATACAGTGCATCCAGAAAGTATGCACAAAGCTTAACTTTTGCCACATTTTGTTATGTTACAGCCTTATTCCAAAATGGATTAAATTAATTTTTTTCATTTCTACAAACAATACCCCATAATGACAATGTGAAAGAAGTTTGTTTTGAAATCTTTGCAACTTATTAAAAATAAAAAATACCACATGTACATAAGTATTCACAGCCTTTGCCATGACACTCAAAATTGAGCTCTAGTGCATCCTGTTCCCACTGATCATCCTTGAGATGTTTCCACAACTTGATTGGAGTCCACCTGCGGGAAATGCAGTTGATTGGACATGATTAGGAAATGCATAAACCTGTCTATATAAGGTCCCACAGTTAACAGTGCATATCAGATCACAAACCAAGCCATGAAGTCCAAGGAATTGTCTGTAGACCTCGAGACAGGATTGTATCAAGGTACAGATCTGGGGAAGGGAACACAAAAATTTCCTCAGCATTGAAGGTCCCAATGAGCACAGTGGTCTCCATCATCCATAAATGGAAGAAGTTTGGAACCACCAGGAATCTTCTTAGAGCGGGCTGCCCAGCCAAATTGAGTGATCAAGGGAGAAGGGCCTTAGCCATGGAGGTAACCAAGAACCCGATGGTCACTCTGAAAGAGCTCCAGCGTTTCTCTGTGGAGAGAGGAGAACCTTCTAGAAGAACAACATCTCTGCAGCACTCCACCAATTAGGCCTGTATGGTAGAGTGGCCAGACGGAAGCCACTCCTCAGTAAAAGGCAAATGGCAGCCCACCTGGAGTTTGCCAAAAGGCACCTGAGGGACTCTCAGACCATGAGAAACAAACCTCTCTGGTCTGATGAAACAAAGACTGAACTCTTTGGCCTGAATGCCAAGCGTCCTGTCTGGAGGAAACCAGGCACCGCTCACCACCTGACCAATACATCCCTACAGTGAAGCATGGTGGCGGCAGCATCATGTTGTGGGGATGTTTTTCAGCGGCAGGAACTGAGAGACTAGTCAGGATCGAACGAAAGATTAATGCAGCAATGTGCAGAGACATCCTTGATGAAAACCTGTTCCAGAGTGCTCTGGACCTTAGACGGGCAACGGTTCATCTTTCAACAGGACAACAACCCTAAGCACACAGCCCACATAAAAAAGGTGTGGCTACAGGCCAACTCTGTGAATGTCCTGGAGTGGCCCAGCCAGAGCCAAGACATGAACCCGATTGAGCACCGATTCTCCCCATCCAACCTGATGGAGTTTGAGAGGTACTGCAGAATGGGAGAAATGGGAGAAATTGCCCAAAAATAGGTGTGCCAAGCTTGCAGCATCATACTCAAAATGACTTGAGGCTGTAATTGGTGCTAAAGGTGCTTCAACAAAGGCTGTGAATACTTATGTACATGTGTTTTTTTTTTTTCGTTTTTTATTTTTAATAAATTGCAAAGATTTCAAAACAAACTTCTTTCACGTTGTCATTATGGGCTATTGTTTGTAGAATGTTGAGGAAAAAATGAATTAGATCCATTTTCGAATAAGGCTGTAATATAACAAAATGTGGCAAAAGTTAAGTGTTGTGAATACTTTCTGGATGCACTGTATATATTGTACATTCACATCAGTCCTTAACCCTCAAGGGGTGTACAATCTAAGGTCCCTAGCTCCCATTCATACATACACATACTAGGGACAATTTAGACAGAAGCCAAATAACCTGGGCAGCACAGTGGCTAAATGGTTAGCACTTCCGCCTGGCAGTACTAGGGTCGTTGGGTTGAATCCCAGCCATGGCACCTCCTGCCTGGAGTTTGCATGTTCTCCCTGTGCCTGCGTGGGTTTCCTCCGGGTACTCCAGTTTCCTCCCACCCTCCAAAGACATGCTGGTAGGTTAATTGGATCCTGTCTAAATTGGCCCTTGTATATGAATGTGAGTTAGGGACCTTAGATTGTACACCCCTTGAGGGTTTTGGACTGATGTGAATGTACAATATATATGTAAACCACTGCGTAAATTGACTGCGTTATATAAGTACCTGAAATAAAAAAATAAAATAAACCTACCAGCATGTCTTTGGAGTGTGGGAGGTAACCGGACTACCTGGAGGAAACCCACACAGGCACAGAGAGAACATGCAAACTCCAGGCAGGTGGTGCCGTGGTTGGGATTCAAACCAACGACCCTAGTACTGCCAGGCGGATGTGCTAACCATTTATCCACTGTGCTGCCCATTGATTTTGGTGTGGTGTGATTTCAGACTATTCATTTTGCAATACTTTTGGAAACTAATTGCATGATTCTTCTGTACCATGTGATCCGATGCAGGCAAACGCCCATGTTTGGGGTGTTATTAATTTAATATTGGCACCCGCTGCAGATCGCAACTGCAGTGCGTTTTAAATGCGGTGCAAAAAACATGCACGGAACATGAGTTTCCTGCATCAGGTTGGAACTAGCTCTTCAAAATGTTCCCTCTCCACTCTTGCTACCTATGCTGCCTAACCTTTGTTAAGAAGTCTCATTTACTTACCTAGTTTTAGTCCGGTCATGTGATCAACAGCTCTGGCTCCCCCGTGTCAGTCACTGGTGGCTTCAGGGTTGATGAGGGAGTACCAACAATGGCTGGGACATAGGAGCCTATGGATGATGTCACCACTCCCAGGATTCACAGCTGTTTTCGCTCCCTCCTCTCCCTTGCTGCCTCCCGTGACTAAAAGAGGGGATCACATGACTGGACCATAGTGGACTGAAAATAGGTAAGTATACAGATTTTTTTACATAGGTTAGGCAAGATAGGTAGCAGAAGGGGGAGAGAATGTTTTTAAGACTAGTTAGTGTTAGCCTGGAATTCTGCTTTAAGCTGTCAATAGTCTAGTAGAATTTTGTTTTACATTTTTGTTAAGGACGTTCATTTGATTTTCTATAGTGGAATCAAATCAACATTTGTTTTCAACTGCAGTGAAAACCGCATTCCAAGGAGTAGGGTGGAAAACCTTTCTTGAACAAATAATTTCGAACAGCGTATGTAGTTCTCATTGGGGAAAATCTGCTCGTTTGAAATTCGAATGTTAAAATCAAACGCAATTTTGTAGTTGTTTTGAACATTCTTCAAGTCATTGAATGCACAGAGAATTTTCGTACGAATGTTCGAATATCTACTCGAGTATAACCAACTTAATTTTGGTCATGCATGGACTGATATACAATTAGTCATGGGTTTGTCCATTTCAGTGGTCTTTTATTTGCTTACATTTGATTGGATATCCTGCCTGGACCTTTTGTTTCATTTTGATGACAATCACTGATAATTGAACTGCCTGTTTAAAGCAGTTGATTTATAAAAAAAATTACATTATTTTGATAAAATGATTGTTATATTTAAAAAGATACACTTAACGGCCGCTTTATTAGGTACACCTGTTCAATTGGTTGGTAACACAAATTTCTATTCAACCAATCACATGGCAGCAACTCAGTGCATTTAGGCATATAGACGTGGTGAAGACGACTTGCTGAATTTCAAACCGAGCATCAGAATGGGGAAGAAAGGGGATTTAAGTGACTTTGTATGTGACGTGGTTGTTGGTGCCAGATGGGCTGGTTTTAGTATTTCAAAAACTGCTGATCTACTGGGATTTTCACACACAAACCATCTCTAGGGTTTACAGAGAATGGTCCGAAAAAGCGAAAATATCCAGTGAGCAGCAGATGTGCGGACAAAAATTCTTTGTTGATGTTAGAGGAGAATGGCCAGTCTGGTTTGAGATGATAGGCAACAGTGGTCAGAATTTGGCATTAACAACATGAAAGCATGGATCCATCCTTGTATCAATGGTTCAGGCTGGTGGTGGTGTAATGGTGTGCAGGGATATTTCCTTGGCACTAGCAAGGTGTACCTAATAAAGTGGCCGGTGAGTGTATATTGTTATATGTATAACCAATGTTAGAATCTATAGTATCCATGTTCTTTGTGTGCTCTTGAAGTTTAGAGGCCTGTATTTGATCAAGTTTTCTCAAGGGCTTAATGAAAAGTTAGGCGCAGGGTCTCAAGAGCTTGAAGTG